ATCTTAAGTAATTTCTCAAGATAATACAGCCCTCTGATTGATTTATGTGGTTATGCCATAAGCCTTAGTCCGGATCTACAATAAGTGTTTTAAGCCTTGAGTTATAAGAAATTGATCAATTACAGTCAAATATTCTTCTCGCATTCGATTGTAATTGGTCAATTTCTTATAGCTTAAGATTTATTAAAAAGTAATCACTGATCTTGTATTTTCTCTATGTGCTGGCTGTTTTTTTAAAGTTATATAGTTATACTTTTTTTTAAAGTTATATAGTTATAACTTATATAGTTATACCATTATATCACATATGAATAAAAAAATTAAAAATTTAATTTACTTAATAACATATATTGTATAACATATATTGTAGTTATTTAATCTCATTTAAAAAAAATTAGGACATTATGATCTAAAAAATAATTTTTTCAAAATTAACTTTTTTTTTAACTTAAAATTAATTAATTAATTTAAAATTAATAAAGTTAAGTTAAAAGTTGAAGGAATAAAAAATTAACTTAACGTAAGTTAATTCAATATTGACTTAACTTACGTTAAGTTAATTTTTTATTTTCCTTCAACTTTTAACTTTATTAATTTTGTAAAGCCATTAACTTTAACTTTATTCAATTAAAAAAACATTAACTTAATCCTGAGAATATTATATTATAATTCGAAATATTTGAATTTTATTTTTACACTCAGATTAAATCAATATATAATTTTATTTAATATGCATTACACTGAAAGAAAAGGTTGGCTGAATATGGCATAGCATTTTTAATTAGCTGTTCCAATAAAAAATTGGCTGCTGTAGCCAATTAAAAATACTATGCCACATTTTACCATCTAAATTGCTGCAACAGCTATAATGTTTTCGATTAATTTATTTAGGTAAACTTTCAATAACGTTTGCACTTTGAAGAATCAAGAAACATAGGGAAAAATAATGTTCTATTAAATCTCTGTCAAATGGAAAACTATTTCAGTTTTTAACAAGTAACATATTACTCTGTATACACGATGAAAGATGGATAAGATACAATGCATTGTACACCATTATCGAAATATTAAATTACATCGCACTGTTTTTATATTTCATCTTAGTCAATTGCATTTATCTCTATGTTATAAAATTCATAACATGTTTACCACTCTGAATCTCGATTGTTCCCGAGAAGATAAATCTTTATGAGAAGAGTAATAACCGTGATTTGTTTCCATGTTTGTTGTGCGCGTGATGTTTTTCCGAAATGCGAAACTCACGGAAATCTGCGGAAACTTGATAAAACGCATCATCACGATACCTCGATGACCTAGCTATCCGTACGCAGCTGGGTCCGGTCACGTTAGTTATAGACAGTAATTGAGACTATTGAGGCGTAGAATATGGAGCAGATCCTCTAACGTAGCTAATATATAACATTCAATAACCGAATGCTCAAGGGTAACACTTGACATATATCTCACCGCGCGTCCCCGTACGCGAGTTTTATTACCCGTTGCATGATCGGTTAATGATGCCGCGATCAATCTGTGACACAAATATTCGTTTATATCTGGCGAGCTGACTGGCGGCCTTCCGCCATGACAAAGCGGGACAAAATCGGGCTGGGTATGTGCGTATATCAGTTCGTAAAATTTGTATCTTGTCCCAGGAAGCGTATTGTTTCGTTCTAGAAGCTAAAATCGAATAAATGCTGTTCAAACGTCGACGATTGTTTGGTCTAGTACGAAAATAATGAACGAGTTATTTTTATCTTGTTATTCGCCTGGCGAGATATAATTCATATTTTGAAACTATATTAATTTTGACGTGATTTCCTTTGTTTTTAATATTTTATTATGTTAGAAATATAAATATAAATATATATATATATACATAT